AAAAAAAAAAAAAAAAAAGAGAACTCAATAAATGTCGGCCGGTCTATAAAATGTAATGGTAGCTAGGCACGGTGGGGCACACCTGTCACTCCACCACTGTGGGAAGCTGAAACAGGAGGATTACAAGTGTGAGCCCAGCTGGGCAACTTGGCCACCTAGCAAGATCTTGTGCCAAAATTTTAAGAAGTTCTGGGTATGTAGCTCAGTGCCAAGGTCCTCAGTGCCAGTACAGCAACAAACAACCAAAAACAATGAAAAAAACAGGTCACATTATGTAAACTTCATTGCCCATTAACATGGTGCACAAATGCTTCGGCTATTGTGATTCCTGGCTTTGCCAGCACCCAACGGAGAGGGTCTCCTGTCCACACAGAAGGCGGTGCTGGTCTGGCTGTCTAGTACATTCAGAAGTAGGGTTACACAGAAGGGGCTTCGTGACCCACAAACAGGGTTCTGTGTGGCAGAGAGCAGAGGGGCAGGTGGCGCAGTCAGGGTGAGGGTGAAGGGCCCCTGCCCCTCCCAGGCCTGGCCATGGACCCACCTCGGACAGGAAGGAGTTCATGTCGCACTTCTGGAACTTGAGCCCCGCGTAGGCGGCAGGGTTGGTGGCGTTGAGCCACTGCTGCATGGCAGCGAAGTTCTCCTCGGTCACATTGCCCTCGGGCAGGTCGAAGGCATTGATGAGCATCAGGATGTTCCTAGAGCAAGGACAAGGCTGACGCCGGCCCAGGAGGGGCCTGGTAGGGTAGGTGGGGCCTGGCACAGGGCGAGACTCACTGGCTGATGCAGTCATCGTAGTGCTCGGTGGCGCGGAAGCCGATGATGGAGTAGACCACGGTGGCCGCGTACACGGATGTGAAGCCGTTGATGATAGACACAATCACCGCGTCCATCTCGCAGTTGTTGCTGTGGGGGACAGCAGTGCCATCAGGCCCACTGTGCGGTGGCTGTGCCATGTTCCCACCCAATCAGAGCCTGGGCGGTGCCTGCACCAGCTCCCGCCCAGCTCAGGGTTGAGCCTAGCACAGAAGAGAGTGAGAGACGGGCCCTGTGGTGACACAGGAGGGGACCGGAGCCCATCGGCTGTCCCTACCCGAGCAGCACTGAGGACTCAGAGGGCCAGGCCGACCCAGACCCGCAGCGGGGACCCTTGCTCCTGCCCCTCTGCACATTTCAGCACACGGTGGCTGCAGAGGCCCTTGGAAAGCCCAGGACACAGATGGCAGCTGTCACTTGGGGCTGGGCCAGGTCCCAACCCTGGCCCCAGGCAGGTGAACAAGGACCCCAGTGTGAGGAGGAGGCCAGGCTGCCCTGCTGGGCACACACGCCCCAGGTCTCCCGGGCCCAGGATGGCTGTTTCCAGCAGTGAAGAGAGGTTCCGAGGAGTTCAGTTCACAGTCCTAGCCGCTGGTGGATCCCAGGTCACGAGGAACAGACCTGGGAGCCATCGGGAAGATCCAGACAAAGGGAGCAAGGTGCCACCCTGCACCAGACAGTAGCAGGAGTTGGCACGGGCGGGAGTGGCAGAGCCCTGTGGATACCACAGGTCCTCCTGCAACTGACCCAGGGTGACCAGGCCAGCAGCCCATGCCTGTGTCCACACGAATGCCCACACATGGTACCCACAGCACCAACCACCTCAGTCCAGAGTGGAAACAGTAGCTGGACGTGCCCGGTAGCTGAGTGACCGGCCCAGGACAGCCATCCACGCAGAACACACCGTCAGCAGAAAGGAGTGAGGCAGTGACACACCACACAGGACACTCTGGCCTCACGATAAACCAGAATATGCCCATCACAGTGTCCAGGGCCCAATGTCCACAGGTCGAAGGCAGAGCAGGGTGGGGACGGCCTGGGAGGGTGAGGTCTGCTGAGTGAGAATCTCTGGATCCAGGGTCAGGTGCAGGGGTGAAGCTGTCGTGAAACTGGCAGAGACACCCTGCATGCCTTCCAGCACCCTCCTGGCGCCTCTGGAGCTGGGGACAATGATCCTCCAGTCCCGCTCCCGACCACGCCCATACCACGCCCACCCCCTTTCTCAGGGCCCTTCTGGCCTCTTCCAGCCCTCACTGTGGGCCCTCCCACAAGGCCACGCCTCCTTGAGCCACCCCCTCCCACGCCATTCCCCAGGCGGGTTCCCAGCACCGGAGCAGGGCTCACCCCAAGCTCCCCCCCCCCGCCCCGCCCCCAGCCTGGCAGTCTGCCCCCTGCTCCCGGCTGGCCCTCGCAAGTCCCACCCCCACTCAGGCCCTGTCCTCACCCTTTCTCCCCAGGGCTTCTGCACCCCCTCACACCAGGAGGCCTGGACACACAGTAGGACTTTGTCTTCCTGACCCTGCCAGGAGGCCTGATACACGGGCGCTGACCACGCGCCCACGAGCCTCCTGGTGCCCCCGGTTTCCCCTGGAGCTCACCATGCTGGGCCCTATCCAGGTGGAGTCTGCAGGATTCCTCCTGGGTCTATGGTGGGCTTCCGGGGCACCAGATACTGGGGTACCAGGGGTGAGCCGGGGGTGGAGAGTGGGCCAGGGACCTGGAGGGGCTCCCCAAGAGCCAGCCTGCCATGTAGGTGCGATATGCACATGGTCCACCAGCCAAGCGGCTGCACCCATACAGAAAGGGACCACACTGGCTCCCCAAGCGCCTTGCGTGCTTTCCTGCTCACCCTCACAACTTGGGAAACAGGCACAGCTCCCCTCACCGCAGGACCCTCCCACCCCATGACTCACTGCACAGAGTTATAGCTGGAGAAGGAGATGAGGCCCCCGAAGGCCAGTGAGAAGGAGTAGAAGACCTGGGCACCTGCATCCAGCCAGGTCACTGGGTTGGCTAGCTCCTTGATCTGCAGAGACAGAGATCTCACTGAACCCTGCACCCTGCACCGAGGCCAAGGATGGTGGCAGAGGAGCGGATCAGTGGGGAGGGAGGAGGCTGCAGGCTCCTCCCCTGGGGATGGCTGCCCTTGCACATGGACAGCAAAGTCAGGCTGACCAGCCCTTCCCAGAACACAGCGTGAGGACCGTGGACAGCCATCCCTCAGGGCCTGGCTCCACCTGTCTCTGGGAGTTGGACCAGGGATCAAGGCACAGAGGAAGGGAGGCTCTACCCCCACCTTGCGCCTCCCGCAGATCCTAGCCCAGGGTGGACACAGGGACTCACATTGGGTGTGAAGAGGAAGACAATGCCATTGATGGCGCCCTTCAGCGTCAGGCCGCGGATGAGGAAGATGGTCAGCACGACATAAGGCAGCGTGGAGGTGACGTACACTGCCTGTGAGGCAGTGGGGTCAGTTTGTGGGATGACCAGAGTCGGCTGGGGCAGAGGATGGACCTCAGGACAGTGCCCAGGCCCTCCCACTGTGCACCGTCCTTTGTCACTACTCTGCCTCTCCTGCCTGGACAGACGGGTAGGTTGTTAGAGGGTGTTCGGGAGCTGTGTTGGCTGCAGCTGAGCCATTCAGCAGACCTGGATCTTGGTGGCCCCGACAGAGGCTATGGGACCCTGAGACCACGGCCTGAGGACTGGGCCCAGCAGGCAGCCCGAGCCGTACCTTCCCTGTGGTCTCAATGCCGCGGATGGTGCACACGTACAGGATGCTCCAGGCGGAGGTGAGACAGATCAGTATCCACCACTGGATGGAGCCCGAGTTGTCGATGGAGGTGGAGATGTTGAGGGTCTCGCGGTACCAGAAGTAGTCCACGGGGGAGCTCCTGGCACACTCGTCCACGTAGCCTGTGGAGATGGTGGTGTGCAAGCTTCAGCATGGGGTCACCAAGAGGCCAGGTCCATGTGGACCGGCAGCTCTGGGCCCCAAGCTCCAGAGTCTCCAGCCATCCCAAGGTATGGACCAGGACAGGCACACATGCACTCACCTGTGGACACACCTGCACACTTGCACACGCATGCGTGTGACACAACCATGCATGCATAGGCACACACTCATGCACACACCAGCACAGCCATGCCCACACCCTTATGCACACAGGTGTACCTGTATGCTTACACATGTGTACAAGCACAGCCATGCATGCTCATGCATTGACATGTGGGCACACTTGCACACTCATAAGCATAGCCACACGTACTCATACACATGGGTGCATCTGCATACCCACACACTCAGGCAGCAGTCCACCCACCATGCTGTGGGTTATGACACACTGCCCCAACTGTGCTGTGTGCCTCTGGCCTTGAAGGCCTCCAGCTGCGGTTGCCAGGCTGCCACAAGGAGCGAAGTCCCAGGCAGGTTGCCTCGCAGTGCAGAGGCTCTGAGTCTTTGGGGCTCGCTGGCCAGGCCTGGGCATGCTGCCCAGCTGTCCACCCTGTTGCCACCATGGGATTCTTGCACCCTGCCAGGGGAAGAGTCCAGCCTGGCGTGCAGTGCGGGGCACCTGGGCGCGTCTGCCCTCTCCTGACCGTGTCTCCCTGCCCATCACATAGGGAGAGTTTTCGAATCATGTCCTGCAGTTGCTCTGCACCTGTTGGACTCGGGTCACCAAGCAGGCTGCACATGCCCTCTGTAGCTTCCTTTGTCACTGTGAGCTGAGTCTGTGTCTCTCCTTCAAGGCAGGGGCCCGGGGCGGGGAACACGGGCACGGGCAGAATGGCATTTGTGCAATGAGTCCTCGTCACAGCCCTACTCTCCCTGAAGCTTCTCTGAGGGCCTCATCTGCCCCAGGCGTAGGGCTTAGGAAGTCATCGGTCATGGCTTCTCTGAGTGTGGTGGAGCCTGGCTTGCCGTGCTGCCTGGAAGGGACTCTGGGTTCTGCCAGCTCCGGGTCTTAGGCAAGTGCTGAGTGACTGCCCGAGATGTGGTTACTGCTAGGAAGGCCACGTCGGGAATGGGGCCGGGGCCTCATGAGGGCCAGGCTCACCTGTCCGGTTCCCATCCAGTGGGCACTCGCTCCACGGCAGGGGCTCCTGGAAGGAGTTGAAGAAGTACCACAAGATCCAGGCGCTGATGGTGTTGTAGTACAGGCCGACTGTGAGGGACGCCAGCATGGATGCGATGCCTGTGGGCGGGGTGTCACTGTGAGAGGTTTACCAGGTCCCCGTGGCTTAGTGCTGGGCCTTGGGCCATCGGGAGGGCCGCTGGATACTGGGGTCTGCCTGATGTGACCTGGTGTAGGGGGTCAGGGTCCCTCCTCCCTCCTCCTTCTCCTGCAGCCTGTGGTGTGTCGGTGGCTGCAGTCCCTCGCGGAGGCTTTGGAGGAACTGGCAGGCTGCTGCCCAGCGGGCCAGCCCCCAAACAAGCTGTGTTCTCACCAGGGACGGGAGGTAACAGCAGGGAGCACAGTGGGCAGTGAGTGGTCTCAACTTCAGGGACAGCTGGGTGGGGCTGTGAAGGTGGTTCAGGCCCCTGCCTTTCAGAAATATGACACTTAAAACCAAATGTGTGTGTGTGACTGGGAGTGAGACACAGGACAGAGGGAGACAGGAAGAGGAGGAGGAAAAGCAAGGGGGAAGGAAAGTGGAAGGGACAGGAAAGAGGGAGGGAGATGTGGGGAAGAGGGGCCGAGCGGCAGAAGGGCAGCTGAGCCCCGGGCCTGGCTGCAGTGCGGGTGTGGGTAGGGCGGGCCATGGACCAGGCTCCTGGCTTCATGGACCCTGCCCCTTGCTCCAGCTCCTGCTCACTCCTGCCCACCGGTATTTTGGGGCCTCAGTGAGCCATGTCCTTGGTGAGGCTGTAGAGGCCACCCAGGTCAGAGTGGTGAATGAGTGACCAGCCCAGGGGCTGGGTCCTGGAGCTGGTGTCAGGGGTCAGGACACCACTGGAGGGTGGGCGGCCAGCGCCCCCTTCTGGTTCGGGGCCTTGTGGCGCCAGCTGTGGGCTGCAGGTCAGTCTTCTGCTCCTCTCGGCAGAGCCACCCTCCCACCCTGCCACCCTCCTGGGTCCTGGTGACCGGGACAGCCCAGCCCGGACGTGAGCTCTAAGAAGGATTCCAAAGGCCCCTGGAGGCAACAGCCTGGGCCTTCCTGCCCAGGAGCGCCCAAGAGGCCAGGGGCCTGGGACACACACCTAGGCCCTTCAGAGCAGGGTGGATGGAGCTCCACACGCCTATGGTGCCCTTCCGCAGCCGCTGGCCAATGGCGAACTCCAGGTGCAGCAAGGGGACGCCCTCCAGGACCAGCAGGATGAGGAATGGGATCATGAAGGCCCCTGTGAGAGAAGCAAGTGCATACATCACACAGAGTCGGAGGTTGCCTGGGGACAGGCCCTGCTGGAGAGGCCGCACTGAGGGCAGCCACAGCCCGCCGTCCAGCAAGCAGAGCCGCGGGCGCTGTGGGGTTGGGGTGGTGCACATCCAGGTGGCCACCGGGTAGCTGGCTGCTGCTTTTCACTGTGGACTGTACCTGTGTACTTGGAGGGCTGTCACCACCAAGGCAGTCAGGGCTGTGCGGGGAACAGCACAGGACTGTCAGGCCCCCCAGGAGTCACGCAGACCCCTGCAGGCTGGAAGCCCAGAAGCTGAGGGGTTGTCATGCTGGCCCGGAAGGGGTGCCCTCCTGTGACCGTCACGGGCCGTGTCACAGCCCAGCCCCGTGGACACTGGGACCACGCGAGCCTGGGAAGCTCACGGGTGGCGATGGACTTCTGCGGGGCGATCTCAGGTGGCAGCTGTATTTGTGATGTCGTCGGGGTCCTCTAAGCAGTCACAAGCATGAGCATGACTGCTGAGGGCTGAATTTCTCACGTCCTGTCACCTGTCCAACCCCACTGTTCTTCGCCTGACTGGGGGGTGATAGGAAGCAGTCCCCTGTGCACCTCCTGTCAGTTCTTTCAACAGTGACTGTGTTTATTCCCTTTCTACAAGAACTGGGTTAATGGAGAGATTTTTAAATGTCGTGTATCCTAGTGGAGCGTGGTGCACACCTGTAAATCCCAGCGCTTAGGAGGCTGAGGAAGGAAGAGCGCCGTGAGTTCAAGGCCAGCCTGAACTGTATAGTGAGTCTCAAAAAATAAACAGAAAATGTGTATCCAAAACCAGCAGGGACACAGTACGAAGACAACACGTGGAGCATGAGAAAATGCTTTAGAGTTATGTCTCTGCCAAGAGATTTGTGTCCAGACCATGCCTGAAACTCAACAGCAACAAAAACACAATCCAAACACTGCACACGACTCAGGCCTCTGTTTCTCCAAGACACAATGGCCAGGGCTGGGGATTTAGCTCAGTGGTTCTGCCACCTGCATAGCAAGCACAAGGTCCTAAGTTCGATCCCCGTACCAAAAAAAACCAACCAAACAAACAAACAAAAAAAGACACATTGGCCAGAGATCCATCTAGGGCTGTGCGGCCTCCCTCACCAGCGGGAAGGTGCAAGCCAGAACTGCAGGGGGATGGCACTTCACCCTGTAAGACGCTCCTATCAAAAAGTGATCACATGGTGCATATCTGTCACCCCAGCTGCTCTGGATGCTGAGGCAGGAGGACCAGAAGTTCAAGGCAGTGTGAGCAACATAGCAAGGCCCTATCTCACAAATAGAAGGGGCTGGAGCTGCAGTTCAGCATGCAGTTCCTGGGTTTGATCTCCTGTTCTGAAAAAAAGAAAAAGGAAAGAAAAAGGAAATAAGCAGAATCAGAATGTGGAAAAGCTGGAAGCCCGCACACTGTCAGAGGGAGCGTGAATAGGGCAGCTGCTGTAGAAAACAGGCTTCATCAAAAGCCCAGACACAGGAGTTACTGTGGGACCCAGCAACCCCACTTCTAGGAAACCCCCAAAGAGCCAGAAGTGAGATCTGAGACTCTTGCACACACCCCTGTGTGTCGCAGGACCCAGGTGGTGGAAGACCCTAGACGTCCACCTGTGGGCGACAAGGACAAACTGTCCCTCTGCATGGTGAGACTCATATCCCTCAGCCTTTGGAAGGAGGGAAACCCTGATGTGAAGCCATGCCAGCTCCACAGGATGAGCTGGCCGCCTTGGGCTTCCACACTCAGGACAGCGGAAGGGAGCTGCAGGGTGGGCGTGGGGTGGAGCGCTGGCTTGGGGAGCCGAGCAAGCTCTAGCAGGGACACAGCGATGGCCGCGCAGCCTTTTAATGTGCTTAGCATCCCTGAACCAGGCTTGAAAATGGCCAGCAGAGGAAACTCTGCTGTGTGTCTTTTCTCTACAGATAGATGGGGTGTGAGGGACGCACCCCAGAAACAGAGTCGGCTGCTGGTGGTGACCAGTGGGTTGGTGAGTTTCGGGGTCATAGACAGAGGTGTTGGAAGACATTTTCGAGTTCTCAGTCTCTAGAGAAACTCAAAGCGAGGCTGGCCTGGGGATTCCTGGGGAACCCTTGTGCTCCTGCAGCTACCTCTGCCTGCTCTGCAGACCCCAGCCCCTCATCCACCTTGCCCCACCAGGAAAGCAGGGAGGACAAAGTTGGGGGGCAGCCAGGCAGAGCCGCCCTCTGCCATCAGGGCAAATGTCCTGGGGGCAAGAACAGCATGGGGCAGACTGGGCTCAGGCAACGTGGCGCCCCCCAGGTGCAGGGAGGAGCGGCACCCTTAGAACACCTGCAGATGACTACCAAAGGTCCCAGTGCTTCCTCCAGATGGAGCTTGGGGTGGATACCTTGAGGTGCCCGAGACTGGTGGATAGCCTGGCTCCACTCCCCTGGACACCACAGGCCCCAGCAGGAGCTCCTGCCCAAGGGGACCCCTTGCCATCCCCAGGAGTGGACCCCACCCAGAACTGCAGCACTAGCTGCTCCACATGACCCAGCACCCAGTGCAGCTGCTTTCCAGGGGGAAGAGGAGGGAGGAGGGGCCCAGAGCATCACTGGAGGGGCTGGGGTGGGGCCCACCTGGGCAAAGGTCCCTGGCAAGACAGCTGCGCTGCCTGGAGTCCCAGGCATCTGCTCCTCACATACATGGATGGATGGGCCGTCAGAGAGGGCAGGCGGGGCCCTGATGCCAGGGAGGCCAAGAGGGAGCTGAGCTCAGCTGGTAAATGCAGTTCTGTTGGTCTGAGAAGTTGTGAAACCAAGAGGAAAGGCAGGAAAAGCAGGAAGAGGGGGTGGGAGGGAGGAGGAAGATGAGGACAGGGGGAGGCTTGGCAGCCTGCAGGCCTGAGGGGCTGTGTGGTCCGCCGAAGGGGCAGCCCGCGGGTCTGCCCTCCACCCAGCTGGACACCTGCCCCCCCACTCACTGCCAGCCCCACCATCTGCATCCCCGCCTGCCATAGCCTCGAGTCAGGAGCCTGTGGAAGGGACACAGTCTAAGTCTTTTTAGTTGCTTCTCTGAAGTCCCGGCAAGGTCCCTGTGTCACTGCAGGCCTCCTCTGCTGGCCCCAGCTGCAGCCTGGATTGAACTCTTCAGTACCCACTGTGACCCCCAGGGGACTTCCAGGGAGGGACCTCAGGTCCTGCTGCCTCCCTCCACCCAGCTGAAATATCCTGGCTTCCTCCCTTCAGGCTGTCCTGTCTGGGGACATGGTCAGCAGCATGCGGAGCGACCCCTGGGCACTCACGTGTCCAGCGGGGACAGCAGGCCCCCAGTGTGCTGTCAGCGCTCGGTGGTGTTGGCAGGGAAGGAGTGGTCCCAAAGCCCAGGAGGTGACGGGAGCCCGTGGTTAGCAGCCTGCCAGTGTGCACTCAGCTGTGGGGCCACCCTGGGCCCTGAGCTTTCCGGACCTTGCTCTGTGCTCACCTCCAGGCCCTGACCTCGCTGTTCTTTAAGGGTCCTAGCACCAGTCCCCAGCGCCACCCACTGGACAGCCCCCCACACTGGGTCCTCAGAGGCCTCCATCCTTGTGCCTTGAGCAGCCTCCTGCGAGGTTGGGGTCCCCAAACCCAGATTGGAGACTAAAGCTGCTGCATGTGGATGGCTCAGGCCGTCCCTGCTCCCCAGGCAGACAGGTGTCTGAGCCAAGCCTGCACCCTGGTGCACTCCACATGGCCCTGCAGGGCCCCAGGTCCTGGCTCACCGCCCAGCCTCCCCTCCTCTCTTGTCCTGCTGCTGCTTACGGCATGGACCCCAGAGCCAAAAAGGCAGGGCCAGGGCTGGGAGATTCTGAAACCCAGCCAGGTTCTGCTGGGGCCTGGAGCCCTGGCTGGAGACAGAGATGGTGCTGGGCACACAGCTTTAGGCAGAGCCCCTGGCACCACTGGGCATCTCCCTGGGGACCTTGGCATCCCAAAGCCGTGGAGTGGCCATACATCCTCATCTGGCCTTCTTTGGAAAGTGTCTGCAGCCCTCGATACCCACCCTGGGCACAGCCGACACCTGCTGAACGGGTTCCAGGCCAGCTCGGGCCTGCCCAGGCTCCCCACCCCAAGTCTGGCATCTTAGCCAGTCCAGGTCAGGCACGGTGTGGAGTGTACCACCGCAGGCTGCCCAGGTGCACGGTCCTGAGTACAGCAGTGCTGAGGCTCAAGGCCACCAGGGGCCACAGCTGCCGAGCCTCATACATGGCTGGGAACCCACTCTGAGGTGGCCCTGGCCATCCCTGCTCCCTCTTTTGCCCACTCGCAGACTTGGTACTGGGTATGTGGGGACCCCAGTTCTGATGCTGGGTACATGGAGACCCTGTCTGTGACCTCAGGGTGCTAAGGACAAGTGGAGACTGCCACCTCAGAAGCAGAGGAGCAAGGGGACCCTGCTTGTGACCTTGGGGTGCCAGGGTATGTGGGGACCTGCCTGCAGTCCCAGGCTGGCTGTCCACGCTGGCCGCCCTCCCTCGTGCAGCAGGTGTGGCCTACCTCCTCCGTGGCTCTGGCACAGGTAGGGGAAGCGCCACACGTTGCCCAGCCCCACGCAGAAGCCCACACAGGTCAGCATGTACTGGGCCTTGTTGTCCCACTGCGGCCGAGAGCTGGCCTCTTTCTTTTCAATGGCATCCAGTGTGTCCAGGGATGGGATCCGGTCCTCCAGGCCAGGGTTGGGCAGCACTAGCCAAACCATGGTGGTCACTGGCTGAGTCGGGCTGGCGCGTCTGGCAGAGCAGGAGTGGGTGAGTGGCGGGGTTGGAAGCCGGGTGCTTTATAAGGGAACTTTGGCACCTCGCCCCGGGCACCTGGGTAAAAGGAGGTGTCAGCAAATCCGCCGGGCGCGTCTGGCACTGTTACTGCCTTATCGTCCAGGCCCTGCTGGGCCGGAGCCTCCCCCTGCCTTCCCTCCCCCTGTGCAGACACCCATCAGCCACCTGAGGAGGGACCCCGCCTCCCAACGGCTGGGCCTGGGACTGGCTGCTCACCCTGCTGTGGGAAGGCCCATCCCAGCCCCCCAGTGCCCTGAACCCTGGCCCGGTGGGGGGCCACAAAGAGCTATGCTTGTGGGAGCAGTTCTCACCTGTCTGGCTCCAAATCGTCTTGAGTGCTGGGAGCATCAGGTGGGACCTTGACCAATGGAGGGGAGGGGGTCCCAAACCCAGGAAGGGTCAAGTGGCAGAGTCGTGAGGCTGACTGCTGGGCCCCGGAGAGGCTGAAGGACAATGCCTCTCCTGGCCTTGGAACTGGGGGACAAGGACAGGACCCTTACCCTGCAGTTACATCTAAGCCAGATGCAGGCAGAGTGGATTTGCGGGGCCCCTCCGGCTCCCTCCGGCTCCCTCCGGCTCCCTCCACAGACCTCCTGACCACATTCTTAGGAGCCCTCTCCCCTTCCCCTTCCCAGGTGAGTGAGGGCCACGCCCTGGCCGGGTGTCCTTGCCCTTCCCAGAACCCACAGGACTCTGCCTGAGAGGATGGCTTCCTGATGCGCTGCGGTGACAATGTCTAGGTGGGGACTGTACCCCACGGGGAGGGGGAAGGGACACCACTCAGGGCAGCAGGTCCAGGCCCCGACCTTCGCCCCTGTCCCCTAGGAGCTCGGAAAGGGTGGAGGCCACAGGAAGAGATGAGTGGCATTAGGATCAACAGGACTGACAGGGTCAGGGGGGGGCGGGGCCTCCAGAGACAGACAAAGACACACAGATGGACAGACAAAGAGACACAGAGACAGACAGACAAAGGCGCACAGAAGCAGAGACAGACAGGGACTTAGAGTCAGAGAGAGAGAGACAGGGAAATACAGGGAGACCAGACAGGCAGGGCCAGAGGCAGACACCAGGACAGACTCCCAGGCTGAGGAGGAGCCGGGTGTGGGGCAGGCCGGACATGGACAGAAGGGCTGTGGCCTGGACTGGGGGCTGTGTGCAGGGTGAGGCCTGGCAGAGGCAGTGAACTCACAACTCTGGCTTGGGACCCTCTCCTCACCCCAGTCCTTCTAGAAGCCTCTGCCTGGGCAGTGGGGAGAGCAGCCGGGCTGGCCCAGACCACAGAGCAGTGGTGCCCTTAGTGCACTGAACCCCACATCCTGTGCGTAAATCCCTGTAATTCCCAGCACCCTGCTCCCAGCCGTTTCCTGAGAAGACAGGAGATGGCTTGGCAGAGGCCTGGTGCTTGGTGGGAGGGGCACGGCTTGGGCTGCTGCAGGCCTGGAGTCCCCACCTGGGCAGCCCCACGGTGGACATCCCTCCCCTCTGGGCTCGTGGCTGGGTGTCCCAGCCTCTGCGACTCTGTGGGGCCCCACTGTCCTCTGGCACCCTGGCAGGAGAACTGCTGTGGTGCTGCGGGCACCTGGAGTGTCACCTGCCCTGTGCGGCCTGCCCAGATGCTGCTGTCCCTCAGTGTGGACTCCCCAGGGCCCCCAGCTTGGGTGCTGTCATTGCTGGCCAGGGCATCTGGTCTCCACCCCCACCCCACTTCATGGCAGCCCAGCCAGTTCAGCAGGGATGTGGGATGCCCCCAGCCACCACAGCTTTCTGTGGCCGGTTCCCTTTTGAGGGCTAGGGCAGACCAGGCTGTGTAAGGACTCTGTGAGCCTTTGGCATTCACTATAGCTGTATGAGAATAGTCAGGAAGATTAAAACCTGTGAAGACACTGCCCCCCATTACATCCAACCCTCAACCCCAACAGCTCTGAGAGTAGCAGTCGGGCCCAGGCCCAGACAGCATGGCCAGCAGGGCCGACATCTGGGGCTGGGGCAGCTGTGGTTCTGCTCCTGTGTCCCAGCCCTGCCGGTTCACACTGGGAAGCACTCGAACTGTAGAGGGGCGGGCCCAGCTTCCACTGCAGGACCAACTGTGTGATTCCTCCCCGCTCCCTACCTCCAAACCTCAATGTCTGCTGTTCTTCTGTCCTAGAGATTGAACCCAGGACCCCCAAACTGAGCTTCATCCCCAGCCCTTTAAAATTATTATTTTTTTGGAAACAAGGTCTTGCTAAATTGTCCTGGCTGGGATTGATCTTGCAGTCCTCCTGCCTCAGCCTCCTAGAGTGCTGTGACTACAGGTGTGCACCCGCATGCCCACCTCTGTGCCTGGTTTTTACTTAGCATTGCATCTTAGGAATTTTCCTTGCATTATTTTATAAAATTGCTTGAATGTTAATTCTGAAATAGTTGTTTTTAAATATAATTTCTATTAAGTCTTTCTTGCAAACACCCTTTCTGAAGCGCGGTGTGGAGCAGTTGGGACACCTGCCCTGCCCGTGCAGAAAGCCCCAGGTTCCAGCGTGGCCCCTCAGCTTCCCTGCTCAGTGTCTTGGTGCCAGGGTGCTTGGGTTTGCATTGGCCTCACTGCAGCTGGGTATGGAGCCTTGGAGCCTACGTACTGCAGGCTTTATGCCTGGGTTCTCTGTTAGAGGAGGGATGGTCATCGGGCTGTACCCTGAGGGGCTGTGGGACCCCAGTCTCTTCGTAGAGTGAATCCTGTCACCAGACTGTTCTGTAAAGTTGAGTTATAGCTGGGGGCAATGGCACAGGCCTGTAATCCCCGAATTCCAGGAGGCTGAGGCAGGAGGATTACAAGTTCAAGCCCAGGCTGAGCAGTGATTTAGCAAGGCCCTGCCTCAAAAAATAAAAAGATTCGAATAGTTTCCCTGGTGTGAATAATCTGCAATAATACAGAAGATCCTAATAAGATTACTGACATTTAGAAATGGGAAGAAAGGAGCTAAAGGTGTAGGGAAGGTGGGATGGGTAGGGGAAGGGTAATAAGGGGAAAGAAAAAATGTGAGATAATGAAAAGATGGAAATAAAGTGTTTGTAGATGGGGAGGGGAGGAGGGGGTGAAGGGAGGGCAGGGGTAAGGGGAAACAATGAGAATCAAGACCTGTCATGTAGAGGTACAAGATCCCAACAATGAATATAACTGCACTGTATCCCTAAAATGTACCAATAAACTCAATTAAAGCTGAAAAAAAAAAAAAACAAAAGATAGCCAGGCATGGTGCTGCACGCCTGTAATCCCAGCACTCAGGAGGCTGAGGCAGGAGGATCATGATGAGTCTGAAGCCACCCTGGGCTACATAGTGAGTTCAAGGCCATCCTGTACTGCAGAGCAAGACTGTCTCAAACATAAATAAATCAAATAAATAAATAAATTAATCAAAAGTTTAAAAGGGCTCAGGTGTAGTTCATGCAAGGCCCTGGGTTCAATCCCTAGTGCAATAAGAGAGAACTGGGCGTGCCCCAGCATAGGGGGGCAGAATATTACCAGGGCACTCTGACTAACAATGGTTATTATTACTTGAAATCTTGGCTAGCTTCTTCTTTCTCACTTTCCTTCCTCTCTTCCTCTTTGCCCACCCTCTCAGCCCCTAGGTCACTGGAAGCAGCGCCAACCAAGTGTGTCTGAGACAGACGAACACAACTCCTCCTGGGGTGGCTTGGTCGCCATGACAGCTGTGTGATGCCCCATGGTCCTGACACCAGGGTGCCTTGGGTGCACAGCAAGACCCTGCTGTGGAGACAGATGCCCCTGAAGCCCAGACCACCGTGTCTGCATCCTGCTCACACATCTTGTCTGGGGCTGGGGGACCCCAGGTCTGAGCACGGCCATGTCCACCTCAGTGTCCTTGACTGGGCCCCAGACCTGTCGTTTCTGTCCACAGCCTGCCACCCAACACAGGTGAAGTCCACTTGTCCCCTCCAAGGCTGTGGTGGGGATGGCAGCAGTGTTCCTTGATGGCCAGGTGGATGCTGCCTTATACCTCACGCTATCCCCTCAGCCTGTATGTAGTCAGGAACCTGTGGTCTGGAGTTACTCGTGTCCAGTCCTAGCAGAAGAATGGGGCTCAGCCATCACCAGGCCCCACATGGGTTCCCCGCCCCCAGCCCCAGGAGGCTCCTGTGAAGCCCATCCCAGCATGGGGACAGCCACGCCTTGTGGGTGCTGAGGGTCCTTCTCTTTGCAGGTCCCTATGGGTCCCTGATTGATCGCAGGGCAGATGAATGCAAAGGAAACCAGGTGGGGCCTGGTGTCCCCTATCCTCTGTCACTCACAGCCACCACGGTGGGCCCTGCAGTCACCAGCTCAGGTTGCATGGTCCTGGGTCGAGCACTCAGCCTTCAGCCCTCTTGCTCCCTCAAAACCTTATCATGGGGCTGGCTGTGGCCAGGGCCAAGGGGGCCTTGGAGAGGGCAATGGAGATGACGATTAGATTCCAGGACCTCACTGCAGCTTCTGAGTGCTCTACATGCTGCATGGGAGGACAGCTGGGCACAGTGACCAGAGCGGAAACGTGGATGACCCTAGGGAGCGCTGCTTTCCCGTGGTGAGCTCAGGAGCTTGGGGCGGGGATGTCCGGGGCATGTGCTGGGGACAGGAAGTGGCAGCCTGCCGGCTCGGGAGGCCTGCAACTGGGGTGGCTCTGCAGGGTGCTGTCACAGTGCCCAGCCGGTGGGTCCCATGACCGGAGGTAGTTAACCTTTGTCTTGAGTGGGCGGTCTGCGTTGCTGGGCAGCTGCAGCCTTGGGAGTCCCTGGAGGCGGCACGCACTGTTGACTCTGGGCTCGAGTTAAGCCCACGGGATTAGCACCACCCATCCCAGTGGGCTCTAGTCATTTATGTCCCTTGCCTTTGTCTCTCAAGGCCCTGTCCCCGCAGAGGAGAGAGAGGCAGAGACGGGTCTGCGAGGGC